AATTATTATCAATAAATAATTTTTTGAAAAAATAATATTACCTGTAATACATTTTGGAAAAAAAATATTGCCAGCAATAAAAATTTTGTCAGCATTAAATAACCCATTGAGGTTGATATGCCGTAAAAACAAACAAATATATATATATATATATATATATATATATATATATATATATATGTGTGTGTGTGTGTGTGTGTGTGTGTTATTATTCATAGAAATCTTATAAGTATAAGAAACTATACTCGCTCGGAAAACCTTCGGTGTCTTGATTTGCAAGTAAACAACCCAAAAAGGTATTAAAAAAAAAGAAAGAATCAAGAACATGTACGTTAGCCGAAAATAATCGTCTAGCATGCAAGTCCAAAGCCCAAAGAAAAAACCCCGATGCGAGTAGACAAAATAACTAAATAGAATGATCAATACAGTAAGTAGAGCAGACCTAGTAAAACCTAGAGAGCCAGTAAAACCTACCAAGGTTTCACCTAAGTGGATCGTCAGGGAAGAGTGGCTACGAGGGAAAACAAGGTAAGGAAAGAACGGAATATATAACTAACTAACTATATATACATATATATATATATATATATATATATATATATATATATATATATATATATATATATATATATATATATAACGCCGTCTGATGAGATTCCGGTAGAAAATATCGAATGTCTGCAATCAGCATTTTTGCACACTGATAAAAAATCAGGCGCAGTCGAGTATAGATCTGTGTTTCTCACCTATAATATGCCCGTATTCGTTGGCGTATGTACAAAGTTTCATAAATCAATGTCTCTCTCTTGTGAATGAATGTTTGCTGAGGATCCCTCCTGTTCGTCTCCAACTGATAAAGAGATGAGCATTCCAATGTGAAACTGAGTTGAATCGGTCCACATGCACACTCGTAAATAAGATTCAATGCACAAGCTATTGATTAAGTGGCAAATGTTTTATTTATATATATATATATATATATATATATATATATATATATATATATAGTTATTGCTATTAAATGGAATATGCCGAGGCAGGCAAGCAAATAAAATATAGATTGTTACTAATCTTAGATTATTTTGACAAAAACAAGCACATGGAAGGAAAGAAGTTTTTTGTACATCAAACGAAGAAGTGGTTAGAATGTGCCATGAAAATCAGGAGACTTTTGCTTTTACTTGGGTCAGAACATTAACCAGTCGCATTCGTGGAAACTACGCCAATCCACCTTATTTCTCGCCGCTGCTTATCCCTCTCTTTCTTTCTCTGTGTGGCTGTATATCTGTACACACACACACACACACACACACACACACACACACACACACACACACACACACACACACACATATATATATATATATATATATATATATATACAAGTATAGGATTGATGTATACGGAATAAATTCCAATAACCAACAATTACTATTCTTAAAAGAGTGCTCAATACGGAGTAGAGCAAATATAATTATTTATTTAAAAATTATAGCATAAATATGTTATAAAATCACTACAAAAATAGCCATTTTGTTTCAACACCTCTGGTGTCTTACCAAGTGATGATATTGAATGTAGAATAAAGGGTTTTAAAAAGTTCAAATTAATTAACCACCTCTCGCAAAGGGAAACGCTGTTACATAAGTTGGAATGACCAAGCAAAATACTACTTGACAACGAAGTAAGGTTATATTTGCTATTAAGTGCTTTTAAAGTTTGGGTTATACTAAAATAGAATTTATTCTAATAAGTATTAAATTATATGATAAAATTTGAAATTAAAATAAAAAATAAAAAATTACCCATTTTAAAATCTTAAAGCAATCTCTATTAAGTTTAAAATTATAAAATTACCGAGGAAAAAAGAAAAAATACATATGTTATTCTATTTATTTTGTTTTTATTGAAATTACGTTGGAATAAACGTTAAGATCGATTGCTCTTAACTTCATGACAACATGGATACATTTGAATTCCAAATGTAGGGATGGGATGATGACATCTTTCGAAAGACAATACATACACACTCAGATTATAATACATAAGCACCCAGACATATTTAGATATATACACACACAAAAAAAGAAAAAGGTGACAAGACAGGAAATATCTCCACGACCCTTTACAAAAAAAAAATAAAATAACAGAACATACACATACATACACAATTAAATGTGCATGCAACATCATCACTTGATAAGACACCAGAGGTGTTGAAACAAAATGGCTATTTTTGTAGTGATTTTATAACATATTTAGTTTATAATTTTAATATAATATATATATATATATATATATATATATATATATTCATTTTTTCCTTATATTCGTTATATTAATTTAATTTACACGCTTATATATATTTTTATAGCCCAGAAAATAAACTTGATAAGGCTAGGACGAAACCGGTTGTCTTTTTTTAGCTTTTTTAAAAATGCCATATAAATTTTGCTTATTCCTAGCTATCAATATATATATATATGTATGAGGAAAGCGGTCTCTTTCATTTGTGGAAAATTATGGTTCTTCATCATGGCTTCCAAACACAGTGCATCCTCTTCTGATAGCCGTGTTTCGAAGTAAAGGAAAGCCATCACTATGGAAGTGAAATTAGATATTTTTATACGCTCTGAAAATCAAGAAAAAGTGACGCAAACATTGGCCGGTTGTTTGGTTTAAGCCATTTAACTGTCACATAAAACACAGGCATATATATATATATATATATATATCAATCTGTGCCTTGTTTTATGTTATTATTAAAACTTGTGAAAAGATGGAATGAGTTGTCAGTAGAATTAGCGAGATATATTTTTCTTTATATAAATTAATCAGTTATTTTTTATTAATTATTATTTGAGGTTTGATATGTCACTTAGTCAAAATAAACATAACACTATTATGTTATACTATTGTTAACAAACGCATAATAATTACAAACATGATGAAACAACACTGTAAATCATAATAGGTTGAAATATTAAAAGTTAAGATCATTATATATTATAAAAATTTAAAACATTTGACCTCATAGTCTGTAGTAACCCTACAATGTAAATGTCTCGTCCAGTGATTGCGTTAAACGATAATTTCTCCATGCGATAAAATAAAGCATTTTGGTCTATCAACCTTCTGTGTTGCACCAACATTTTCACCTCATTTTCTTTCTCGCTATCTATCTATCTATCTATATATATATATATATATATATATATATATATATATATATATATATATATATATATGATTCGAATGAGGCCAAGCAGTTCAATTCCTAGGAACCGAAAGCCCGTCACCAGCACATGAGATTGGATTATAGTGCTGAAGCAGCCGCACTTTTCGAAGGACCGAATACAAAGACCACTACAGTATTCAGAGTTGTCCTTCGCCTAGAAGACTATACATATAGAAAGTAGCAGGACAGACTGGGTTTGTCCTGCTATTTACCCATAGCTGGAGGGAGAAAGAGAGGGCATTAGCACGTAAGTAAATGTAATGGAATCGACTGGAATTCGAACTCGGCTCTCCGATTCCTCAACCCAAGCCGCTATCTCCACCGTGCCGCCTATCCGTCAACACAACAATACAAACAATATTTCTACACGTGAAAATATTCTCTTCAAACACAAAAAGTAACTGACGTCATTTTTCAACTGACCATATGAATATATAATAGCTTTTTTTAATTCTTCTAGTTACTAACGACATTTTGTTTGTGATTTATAAACACTTTGTTTCAATAAATTCATTTCGTTTTTTTCCTTCAAAAATTTCACATTGGACGAAACCCGCCCGTTAAAACTAGTTTTTCTATTGTGTTTTTCCTTAAAACATATTGTCTTTTTTCGACAGGTTAATTCTGAGAAATTATATATATATATATATATATATATATATATATATATATATATATATATATATATATATATATGACTGCCGCCCTCACTTTTCTTTTTTCTCTTTCTTTCTTCATCTTCATCCTTAGGAGGATATCCGCGCTCTTCAGTGATACTTGATGCTACAAGAATTCAAGACTGACTGTTTTGCGCATGCGCATGCGCATGTGTGTGTGTGTGTGTGTGTGTGTGTGTGTGTGTGTGTGTGTGTGTGCCTGCTGACTGGCAGTGGCGTATCGTTTTGAATTCCGGAAGTCGTCCATTACTACCAAAGGGATTTTAGAAGTCCTATACATTAAAGCCTCGTCGAGGGTTTCAGAAGTCGATTCAAAAGCATTGTGCCGTGGGTTCAAAGGTTTTCTTCTGATGATTTATTCTGAATAACATAAAGCGATAAACGACACAAGGAAAAGAAGAAGAAAAAATTTCCTGCGCGATTGCATCGAGATATTGGACTGAACAATTGAAGGTGATATATCGTTGAATTCTACAGATGAATTATTTTGTTTCTAACAAATTCAATGGGTAAAGTATTTTGAAGATTTTTTTAAAAAAATCAACAGATATTCAATGGAAAGGGACATATGTGACAAAGTTTAATATACGTTACCCCCAAAAAAGTGTGTATGAGAAAGACTTTTTTTTTCTTAACATCGCTATAAAGACTTTGGATTATAATGGTCGGGATAGATTTGTTTGTTGTTTTCGGCTTATCAACACTTTGCATAAATATATGGCCTAGAAAATAATTTTTGAATGGAATTTTTTTTTAATAATTTTGTCTTAAAACGCTATTTTCAGAATTCTAATAAAAGCCAAACATAGGTTGATGGATTTATTCGTTTTCTCTGACACATCTTTTTTCAAGTTATTCAAAGCCAGAAAATATTTTATATTGTAAGAATTCTTTTTAAAATAATTGTGGCTTAGTAATAAATGTGTTACTAATTAACCCATAGCTGGAGTGAGAATAGATGGATTCATGCCTTTTCTAAGGATATATATGAATATAATGAATTTGATTAGAATTGGAATGCGGCACTCTAATCTCCATATCCGAGCTGTTATCCATTACACCACCCGCACATCCAAACTTTTCGTACCTGGTATTCCCGAGCGGTCACCCATCTAGGTACTGAGCAGGCTCGACGTTGCTTAACTTCGATGATCGTACAGAAACTGATAAACGTGTTTGCATATACTATTAGCTATACAATGGTAGATAACGAGTTCTTAATAATTTCTTTTGTTAATGTTTGCCCTTTATAAGGCCCAACAGCCAGTCATGCTAGAGGGTTTCATGAAGAGTTTGTGTAAAAGTAAGAGATAAGACTAGGCTTGAACGGGTTTGGATTATAATGGTCGGGATAGATTTGTTTGTTGTTTTACGGCTTATCAACCCTTTGCATAAATAAATAAGCCAGAAAATAATTTTAGATTGTATTTTTTTTTTTTAATAATAAGAATTTACTGGTACAGCACTAACTAATCGACCCATTTCTGAGGGAGAGATTCTTACATTTATTTGCTCGTAATTGAATCTAACGTACCCAATATGCCATTATCCGTTACACCAGCGGTATATCCAGGCTTACAGCACCTATTATCCCCAATACGTCACCCATTCAGGTTCTGACCAGGTTCGACATCGCTTAACTTCGGTGATCGTACGGGAACCGATGCTTGAGCATGCTGTGGCTATAAAGCTGGAACATATGAAACTATTTATACATTCTCTTGACAACAAAATATTTACAACAAAATAATTTATTTACAAGAATAATTTATATATATATATATATATATATATATATATATATATATATATATATATATATATATATATATATATATATATATATATATATATATATATATACCCTAATGTAATAGTTATAAGTTATCAAATTATAAATAAATATGAAACATTGATTTTATTCATTATGAACTTATAGGATTTTTTTTTTGAGAATTGCCAACAGAAATGTTAAAGACTATTTATTTTTTAGTGTGTTTATGTACAATAATAGATTTTTAATAATTGTGTTGTCAATTAATTTATTCTGAGGATCTATTCATCTATTCCACCAGTTCAGGCCTTCACAGCTAAGACTCGCCATGCCACGGACACAGGGTTGAATCATCCTTATTCATTTCGTATTCCATTTGTAAGAAGGAATTTGCATTCAATCAGCTTCTTACCAAGAGCCGATGCTTTATGGAATACACTCCCAAGAGAATGCTTCCTCGATGAATAGAATACTTCTCCTTTGCTTCCCCTATCAATACAATCAATACAAGAACAATATAATCTTAATTTCTTCCTGAAGAAGTTAAGATTCTTTCATCTATCCTACACATTTTCATAACCTTCACTTCTTATCTCCTTCTCTTACAACCTCATTCGTGAACAACATAATTATCTTCTTCTTCTTCTTCTTCTTATTATTATTATTATTATTATTATTATTATTATTGTTATTTTTATTTTCTTTGATTTTGAATTAAATTACATAGATAAAGCCCTTCGTAAGGTGTGGGCTGTACTTGTCAGAACAATTTTTTGTATCTCCTTGAGGCATGGACTTCCAGGAATCCCTTCAATTAGTCTACTGCAATCTTTTCCAACCAGTCCTAGGGCTCCAACTACAACAGGGATTGTTGATGTTTCCATATGCCACATTTTCGAGATTTCTATTTCAAGGTCCTTGTACTTTGACAACTTTTTGAATATCTTCAAAGATACATTGCAGTCAGCAGGGACTGCCATATCAATAAGGAGGCACCGTTTTTGTTTGTGGTCTTTAATAACAGTGTCTGGCCGGTTGGCCTTGATTGTTCTGTCAGTGTGTATTGTGTAGTCCCATAGAATTGTAACAGATTATTATTATTATTATTATTATTATTGTTGTTGTTGTTGTTGTTGTTTGTTGTTGTTGTTATTTTCTTTGATTTCTGGTGTATGTTGATTTCTTTCCGGGTGTCAACCAAAGACCTAAGGTCAAAAATTGCATCATGACATTTTCTACTGAGCATTTTTTTAAAAAAAAAAACAAAAAACAACCGAAGATCCCACATATTTTACATAGATAAAGCCCTTCGTGAGGTGTAAGCTATACTTGTGAGTATCATTTTTTGTATTTCTTTAAGGTGTGGGCTACCAGTGATTCCCTCAATGAGTCTAACGTGACCTTTTCCAATCAAACCAAGGGCTCCAACTACAACTGGAATTGTTGACGTTCTCACGTGCCACATTTTTGAGATTACGATTTCAAAGTCCTTGTACTTCGATAGTGTTTGAAGATCTTCAAATATACATTACACTATGCATTATTATCTTTTTTTCTTTTCTTTGATTTCTGGCGTTTACATATTTTTTTCCGGGTCCCGCCCAGGGACATAAGGTTAGAAATGGCATCATGACACTTTCCACTGACAAACAAAAAAAAAATATTACATAGATAAAGCCTTTCGTAAAGTGTGGGCTGTACTTGTCAGAACAATTTTTTGTATCTCCTTGAGGCATGGACTTCCAGGAATCCCTTCAATTAGTCTACTGCAATCTTTTCCAACCAGTCCTAGGGTTCCAACTACAAAAGGGATTGTTGATGTTCCCATATGCCACATTTTCGAGATTTCTAATTCAAGGTCCTTGTATTTTGACAGCTTCTTGAATATCTTCAAAGATATATTGCAGTCAGCAATAAGAAGGCACTTTTTTTTGTTTGTGGTCTTTATTATTATTATTATTATTATTATTATTACTATTATTATATTTTGGAATACATTCTGTTAAATTATGTTTTTAATGAATACATATATTCGAAGATATATTTTATAATTAGCTTTAGTTGACTTTTGTTAATACTAAAAATGATTTCTTGATTTAATCAAGCATTCCACAAAGCAGAAGTTCACTATTTGCGCTAAAAATGACTACAAATAACAAGCAGTTTATTAGGTTTAGTTTATTTCTTTCTGAAAAAGAAAAAAAAACTCTTACAGAGCCGACTAAATAACTAAATGGAGAGATCGAATAATGATTGATATTGATTTGTTCTTTGTAGCTACAGAACTTTATTTTTAGAAAATGAGTGGATTTACAGCACAGACACGCTTTTTAAATGCAAACCAAATAAATAAAAAAAAGCGAGTCAAATGTCGAAGCGAATGTTGAGCATTTCCAAAAATAGATGAAGACATTTACTGAAAAAGATAACATCTTAAGTATTAAACTCGAGTATAAGAACGAATTCAATGCAAAACGCTTAAACGTGACCTTTTAGAATTGTTTTCATTTTAAATTTCTCTACAGATATAATTGATTCAGTAATCTGCCTTTATCCATTAATGAAGTCAAAAGAACTTTGTCAAAGTTTGTTTGCATAGACATTTTTTTTAAAACAGATGATTGCAGCTTCTAATATCCTTTTCGACCAAAATAACAATTCGGGTTATTGCATGGGTGCCAAATTTGAAGAAAACCTGAAAATCTTTTCATTAGCAATGGTTTCTACATACATGTCAATGTATAACAATTCCTTCCAGTTAGAACAAAATTCAGCAAACTCCATTTAACAGAATATAGTAGGCATCCATCTATCTTGTGAGACAATTCTAGCACCCCTTTTTGGTCAAACATTGTCCTTTAGTGAGCAGTGGCTTAAGAGACCAATCCTTTTTTTACATTATTTATTGTCATATTCAAGACGTTTCAGCCTTCTTCAGGTGATATACATTGGAATTTCGCACAGAACCCTTCATTTAGCGCACTGTGATAGATTGTTCTAGTTCCACGTGTTTAGCCTTTTCTGGATATTTTCAGTTATTTCCCTTTAGTAACTCAAATCGCCATGTTTTTGCTGTGGCCAAAAATCACAATTCTTTGAGTCAAGCCACGGGATTACTTCAACCCACTTTATATACACTGGGCCATGTGTCCTTGGAGACGAATCTTTATGAATATGAGAATAAAGATGATGACAACAGCCCGGACAATGTAAATAGTGTAAATAGTTACAATAGCATTTCAGAAATATAAACAGATGTAGGCTAATCCTTGCATGACACTCATTCCCGCAGGTGGGTCAGATGAAGCTTTAATGTGCAATGGAGGTCTGACATTGCTCGTTTACTTCGTTCTCTACTTGTCTCTAACAATTAGTTTCGCCTTTTCCTGGCCTTCCTGGCAACCAGGGTCCATGCCTTTGCATTTCAGGCTCCTTTTGCAAACGTCTTTTAAACGTAGAGTGTGAGGCGGACTACCGGACGATGTACTTCTCTCAGCACACTATAAAATGATGTCTTTTGTTATACGGCCATCATTCATATGATATACATGACCCAGCCATCGAAGACGATGTTGGTAAAATAGAAGATGCATGCTCCATGAGTTTGCTTGATCCAACACAACAGTGGATATGCCATAGGCAGCAAGAAATGGAGTCTTTCCAAACGTTTTTTTTTCTTGTCTGGTGCATGTTGATCGTTTCCAAAACAACAGACTCGATATATTTGTTGTTTACCACGATGTGTCAGGCCATAATTTTTATTTAAAAATTCTACTTTTATTCAAAGAAAAACACGTTACTAAGAAGAAAGTCCCTTTTCTCTTCGTTAGTATGTTTCGTGGAAGATTCGAAAAGCAAAAAAATCAGAAAATGACTTCTTCCATAAGAACAAAATATTCATTAGAGAATCGAACCCTGAACGCTTGATTTGTTTTACTTTATCTGTATCGATAAAGTTATTAGATTTTAACTAATTGCAATTGATTTTATGGTTTTTCGTATCCCACTTAGTTTTCAGTACTAATTTAGTATAAATATATAATGAACTAAAACAGGCCGGTTGCATAGTAATCTTAATTGGTATGTAGATTATGACACTTTTAAAGCATCTTCATCTACACCAAGTGTTCTTAACCAAGAGGAATTCCCCAGAGGAGGAATTTTAGTTTTTCCGGAAAAGGAAAATATTTTCTTTTTGTTTGTCTTTTTTTATTTACAGACTTTTATTTATTGAATTACAACACCCTGACATTCTATTGAACTTATTGCTTATTGAATTGTTTTAGTTTATTTATTATTAAATATTATTAAATAAATCAACTGAAACATAATTGTGCAGTTATTTCTGTTAATTCATAAGTAATAATTACTTATGAATTCACAGAAATTACTGTATTCAAGTTTTAAAGTTCATCAACATTTTCTATTGCTATTCAATTTGTAAAGCTACCCTCTAAAAATAATCCATGTAAATGTATATGTACGAATATGGAAAAGAATGAAGATTTTCAATAATATAGGTATATTATTTGGAATGCACCTTTTGAGTCGGACCGTCTTGGAAAGTGGGGAATGATATTATGGTTTAGGGTGAAAAGAGTGCATTGGAGAATTCAATTTTCTTGGTCAGAATTGTGATCACGAAGTTTTCGGTGCCATTGAGTTGTTGTCAAATTTTAAGTCCTTTTATAATTTCCATTCCATCGGATTTTCATGCAAATTTACACACACACACACACACACACACACACACACAAACACACACACACATATGTAAGCAAATATATGGATATATACCCGACAGTATGAAGAAAAATATATACAGAAAAAACAAAAAAATCCTTATATAGGATTATGCTGTTTTAATGTTAATATGTCAACGTCTGACGTTTCATATGTCATGAAGATG